TGCTGTCCATGCTGCTGCTGTCCATGCTGCTGCTGTCCATGCTGCTTCTGTCCATGCTGCTGCTGTCCATGCTGCTGCTGTCCATGCTGCTGCTGGCCATGCTGCTGCTGTCCATGCTGCGGCTGCTGTCCATGCTGCTGCTGTCCATGCTGCGGCTGCTGTCCATGCTGCTGCTGTCCATGCTGCTGCTGTCCATGCTGCTGCAGACTACACTGTACACTTTGGTCCTGTAGGGTAGTGTACTGAGGAGGTTGTATTATGTAGGGCTGTAATGATCCTTGTTGAAGAGCTTCCACTACTGCATTGGACCCATACTCAGATGAAAAATTGTAGCTGGGTGGTAGGACCTCCGCTATGGCTGGTGCTGCTGGTGTTGCTGCTGGTGCTGCTGCTGGTGCTGGTGCTGGTGCAGAAGATGATACTGCTGATGCTGATAGCGATGGCACTGCTTGTGAAGAAGATGATGTTGGTGCTGGTGCTGCTCCTGGTGATGATGAGGATGATGTTGGTGCTGGTGCTGATGCTGCTACTGGTGATGATGTTGATGATGATGTTGGTATCAAAGGTGACTGTGTGGTCAAGGAATGTGTGTGCCGCTCTGCAGATGTAGGATATTGCTGATGTTGTGGCATTGACCTCGCAGTTGATGTTCCCCTCACACTTTCTACTCGACTGTTCGGCGAAAGCGATGAAGAGGCGGTCATGGCTGATGACGCTCTTGATCTTGTTCTCACCAACACAGCCGTCTTCTCAGTCGACCGTGTTTCTGGTGCAAGTCTCCGAGGAGGTGGCTGAAAACGCTTGTCATCACTTACTACTGCAGCCCGGGTTGATGCTACATTGGCTCGTGTTGTTACGGATCTTGCTGATTGGCTATTGGCTGCTCTGCGCGTTGATACTGTTGTTGTTGCTGTTACAGTGTCTGCTGTGGCTGAAGGCAACGTTTGTTCTTTGCCTGGATGATGTGGAAATGTAGTGGCAAGCACTGGTGGCTGCTGCTGGAGTTCACCATGACCTGTACAGGGCGAATACACAACAAATGACATTCACATCCACATCCATGCACGCATGTGCGCACACACACACACACACACACACACACATACACACACACACACACACACACATACATGCACACAGACATTAACTACAACACACAGCAGCTTGCGGTTAGGAGGGTGCTGGCCAGCGAAGTGAGAGGCTACAGAGAGAGCAGGATCTTGGCGGAGCCAAGAGGATAGTCACGTCCAAGGGACGAAGACCGAGAGCCCCGAGTAGCCGGAAATGAGCATGGCCAACACCCCTTTATTTACTTTATCAAAGTAAATGAGAGATGAGAAATGGGAGGTGGGTGGGTGAAACACAATGATCTGACAAGAGTGATCCGCACACAGAACGAATCGAAATATAATACACACTACGAGCAAGGAAGAATGATTGTCGCAGAGAACGGATCGAAAATATAGGAGCCGCAATCAGCGAAAACAACCCTTAGAGATTTCGTAATTTTTCCGAGAAAAAGGTCGATTTGTGACGTTCAACGATTTTTTGATCGCGCTGCAAACAGCGCGACGACTTCTTGAACTCCTTGCTTGAAGTAATTTATTTGAAGTTGAAGTGGTGTCGTGTGGCGACTCCAGTGTTCCTTGATCTTGTTGCGATGGCTGCGGACGCCAAAGCTGTTCGCAGAGCACACACGGCAGTCATTGTGTACAGCTAGCTCGAGCCTGGTGGGGTGTGGATTCTGAAGTAGCCGCTGAAGTTCAGAGTGAGGATGAGACGTTCTTTGGTCTCGACATCGATGTCGACAGCGAGGCGGAATCACAGCCGTCATCTCCTGCTGCGATGCGGCTCAAGGTGGCCGATGACTCGTCAGAGTCGGAAGATGAGGAGTCGTCTGAGATAAATTCTGAGTCTGGGGCGAGTGAAGGCAGCGACGTCGTGTCTTCAGCTGCGGAGGAAGAAATGGAAGACGAGATTGCGGAACGACTCCACGCAGGATGCAGCTGCGAATATGTCGATCATTTCTCCGCACTGCTCAGCTATTCTTTGTCATTATAGCTGCTTACTGCACTATTTCAAAAAGTATTCAAGCTGCCCACCCACCTTCGAATGCTGAATATTCATTGTACACATACATCGTATACATACATTGCACCAATTTGGAGTACATCTTGTATATTGGTGTATACACCCGTTTAGAATCGGAATATTGAACTTTTTCTTGGCTGAGGTCCTTCAGAAGATGGGTTTCAACAAATTTCTAATCAAAAAGGAATTTTGAAAATGTTGACCCTAAGCGCTGTTTTCGCTGGTTGAGGCCCATATAGCAGAGCAAACTCTAGCAAGACATGCAACAATGCATGCCACCCACATTAAGCTACGAGCAAGCGTCATCATAACGCAGCCACACGCCTTCCACATCGGAGGCGAGCGACACGCATGAACGCCAAACTTTAGTATGACACGTTGAGTGCCTACGACGCATGCCGCCTACGTTGAGCGTCGCGCATGAATGAATGTCGCGTTGAGTGTCACGTTGTATGACACATAGAATGCCACGATGCATAGAGTACCATGTGAGCACGTACAGCGCACGTTCATAGCAGCATAGTTTGAGTGGTAGCACGAAGCAGCCGCGTGCACCCATTAATCTGCATTATTACTATAATGCTACATTAACTACAACACACAGCAGCTTGCGGTTAGGAGGGTGCTGGCCAGCGAAGTGAGAGGCTACAGAGAGAGCAGGATCTTGGCGGAGCCAAGAGGATAGTCACGTCCAAGGGACGAAGACCGAGAGCCCTGAGTAGCCGGAAAAGAGCATGGCCCATTGTGGCCAGCAAGCCTCGTACCGAAGCAACCGTGAGCGGGATTAAAGACATAGACACTGCCGGAGCAGGATCTTGGCGGAGCCAAGAGAGAGGTCAGAGAGAGGTCACTGCCGGAACAGGAGGCCGCGTGCACCCATTAATCTGCATTATTACTATAATGCTACACACACACACAAGCGTGCGCGCATACACCAGAAACCACCCGCACATGGATGAACGTTCACAAACAGGCAGACATACAAATGTCAAGTCAGGCTCTTGGCAACGCAGTCAATTCTGAACACAGGAATAGAGATGTGGACGAGGCCACATCAACACAGGAATAGAGATGTGGAAGAGGCCACATCAACACAGGAATAGACATGTGGAAGGGGCCACATCAACAGGAATAGAGATGTGGAATAGGCCACATCAACACAGGAATAGAGATGTGGAAGAGGCCACATCAACACAAAAGAGATGTAGAGGAGGCCACAGCAACACAGGAATAGAGATGTGGAAGAGGCCACATCAACACACTCGTGCTTCAAATGACGGGTGTCATCGGGCAGAAGGGTGCCTGTGCTACTCGTAACTAGAGCAGGCATTCAGGCAGAAGTTTGCTCCTGAGAACCCGATCGGGTAGTTGGAGTAGGGTGTTTTCGCTATGGTGCACGTAAACAGCATGGCTACATGCTTACTGTACACTTTCTATGCAGCGCAAGTGTACACTCACTGTACAACTTATGTCCAAAATACCCGACAGGGTACCCTTGCTACCCGGATAGAAATACCCGATAGGGTACCCTTGCTGCCCGGATAGAAATACCCGATGGGGTACCCTTGCTGCCCGGATAGAAATACCCGATAGGGTACCCTTGCTGCCCGGATACAAATACCCGATAGGGTGCCCTTACTGCCTGGATAGAAATACCCGATAGGGTGCCCTTGCTGCCCGGATAGAAATACCCGATAGGGTGCCCTTGCTGCCCGGATACAAATACCCGATAGGGTACCCTTGCTGCCCGGATACAAATACCCGATAGGGTACCCTTGCTGCCGGGATAGAAATACCCGACAGGGTACCCTTGCTGCCTGGATACAAATACCCGGTAGGGTACCCTTGCTGCCGGGATAGAAATACCCGATAGGGTACCCTTGCTGCCGGGATAGAAATACCCGATAGGGTACCCTTGCTGCCCGGATAGAAATACCCGATAGTGTACCCTTGCTGCCCGGATAGAAATACCCGATAGGGTACCCTTGCTGCCCGGATAGAAATACCCGATAGGGTACCCTTGCTGCCCGGATAGAAATACCCGATAGGGTACCCTTGCTGCCCGGATAGAAATACCCGATAGGGTACCCTTGCTGCCGGGATAGAAATACCCGATAGGGTACCCTTGCTGCCCGGATAGAAATATCCGATAGTGTACCCTTGCTACCCGGATAGAAATACCCGATAGGGTACCCTTGCTGCCCGGATAGAAATACCCGATAGGGTACCCTTGCTGCCCGGATAGAAATACCCGATAGGGTACCCATGCTGCCCGGATACAATTACCCGATAGGGTACCCTTGCTGCCCGGATAGAAATACCCGATAGGGTACCCTTGCTGCCCGGATGGAAATACCCGATAGGGTACCCTTGCTGCCCGGATGGAAATACCCGATAGGGTGACCTTGCTGCCCGGATAGAAATACCCGATAGGGTACCCTTGCTGCCGGGATAGAAACACCCGATAGGATACCCTTGCTGCCCGGATAGAAATACCCGATAGAGTACCCTTGCTACCGGGATAGAAATACCCGATAGGGTACCCTTGCTGCCCGGATAGAAATACCCGATAGGGTACCCTTGCTACCCGGATAGAAACACCCGATAGGGTACCCTTGCTGCCGGGATAGAAACACCCGATAGGGTACCCTTGCTGCCCGGATAGAAATACCCGATAGGGTACCCTTGCTGCCCGGATAGAAATACCCGATAGGGTACCCTTGCTGCCCGGATAGAAATACCCGATAGGGTGCCCTTGCTGCCCGGATAGAAATACCCGAACTTGTTACCAGACCAAACCCCTAGCTGTTACAGCCCTGCTTCAAATATCTCGCTGCACTAGAAGTGGGGATGGTGATCATCTTCAGTTCCTTGCACTCTTGTCACACTACTTACCCGGAACCATCAGTTTCTGCTTATTAGGCAACACATACCATACAAATTAATGTCTGATGGATAATCACATAGCACATAACACTTACTCTGGCGGCTAGGAGAGGATTGGCTGAAGTCTGAAAATCGTGTGCCAACATCCGTCGACAATGGACTCCTTGCAAACATCTGTGAAGCAGACGACTGGATGTTGTGATGCTGTCCAGCCTGCTCGTGATGCTGGTGCCGCTGCTGCTGTTGCTGCTGCTGCTGCTGCTGCTGGTGTTGCTGCTGCTGTTGCTGCTGCTGCTGCTGGTGTTGCTGCTGGTGTTGCTGCTGCTGCTGGTGTTGCTTCTGCTGCTGCTGGTGTTGCTGCTGGTGTTGCTGCCAGCTGTGCTGTTGCTGCTGTTGTTGTTGCTGTCGTTGCTGCTGGTACTGCTGCTGTTGGTGGTACTGCAGGTGCCGCTGCTGCTGCTGCTGCTGCTGTTGTTGCTGCTCGTGTTGCTGCCGGTTGTGCTGTTGCTGCTGCTGGTACTGCTGGTACTGCTGCTGCTGGTACTGCTGCTGCTGGTACTGCTGCTGCTGGTACTGCTGCTGCTGGTACTGCTGCTGTTGGTGGTGCTGCTGGTGCCGCTGCTGCTGTTGCTGCTGGTGTTGCTGCTGTTGCTGCAGATGGTGCCACTGCTGATGCTGCAGCCGGTGATAGTGCTGCTGCTGCTGCTGTTGCTGTTGCGGTATGTGTTTGTGATGTTGGTAATTTGTAGGTGATGTGATGGAAGAAAAGGGTGGTATGGTATCTTGCAGTACCGGTGTATAACTACCACTCGTTGCTGCAAGGTAAAGATTATCACGAATTGGATCCAAACTTGACGATGACGGACATGACGGTGGAAGAAAGGATGAGAGATCTTCATCGTGTTCTGCAATTCTAGCGCATGCTCTATTTGGTTCTATGTCAGCCTCTGATAGAGTTGTTCTTGCTTCGGATAATGCCGGTGCTCGTTGTGGCCATAAGCTATCACTTTCCACTTGCCCAGGACCAGACGAGACTAATATGCACAAAAACAACACGCAGAAAATGACACACATACAGTACACAAATACATGAGAGTGCTTACACACGTACACAGACTTTGGAACTTGTGTATTAGTTCAATGCCACAAACTATGACCTTACCGCCAATACCCACATAGCCATTATTTATTGTTCAAGAATGCAAAGTTGTGCAGGTAAATGTTAAAATGGCCAGTGAAATTCCACCTCATAAAAGAGAGAGCTTGGAAGCTCAGGGCCCTACGCTATGCTTTTTTGCTTTGATGACCTAGGCAAAAAAACATAGTAAATTTTTCATTTCTCCTTTTTTTTCAAGACATAACCTGGGATTCGAACCCGCACTATTGCCCTGCATGCATCCCCCGATACACTTCGCATACATACTAATTCTTCCAAGTTGCTTCACGTTATGATCTTCCATTTGAAAGCCCTATTTGAATATTGTGACCAGCTGTTTGTGGCCAGCCGTCTTTGATGGTACGGTACGGGACAGGTACGGTCGAGGGTAATACGACACCGTCTACCACCTTGATGATCTAGGCAAAAAAGCATAGGGATGTTATAAATTTTACAATTTTCCTACAAGAGACTGTGCTTGTAATAGAGATAATACGATATGTGAACCCACCAACAAAACTAGCTAGCACGCAAACACACACACACACATATGTGTGCGCGCACTCGCACAAACACACACACACACACACACACACACACACACACACACATCTGCGCATGCACCCACCATAAACACACCAACATGCACTAATTCCTTACTGAAGTCAGTGTCCAGCTCTGACGATAGTTGAGACAGGTCACAGTGACCACCAGTGGATGAGACAACATTACGAACAAACTGAGCTGATGCTGTTGTTGGTTGTATCCTCTCCAACATACGTGATACAGTGATTGGTTTCTGTAGACGATGACCATACGCTGCTGCATCCTGAACTGGATACGTGAAGTTGCTGTTGTCACCACTGATGGTGCTGCTGCTGTGGCTACGCTGTGTTGCATGCTGTACGTACGTATCAACAAAACGAGTTATTGGTGATGCTGGACTGTTTGCACTGGGGTGTGTGAAAGGGAAATCTCCTACACTTTCTGCTGGTACTGGTAATGCTTCTGATGTAGAGGAGACACTTGCGGATACTTGCTCGTCTTCTGCCAGTGCTGACGGCGAATCCATGTCTGTGGGAACAGGTGTGATGTCTGAAGTTTCTACAATTACAGTACAGATGCACACACAGACATACATACAGACAGACAGACAGACAGACGGACGGACGGACGGACGGACAGACAGACAGACAGACAGGCAGACACACACACACACAAACACACACACAGACAGACGGATGGACAGACAGACAGACGGACAGACAGACAAACAGATAAGACGGACGGACGGAAACATAAACACAACATAATCATCAATATCATCATGTATGATCTGCACTGCTGCTTCCCCTCACAAGGCACTATCCATTACCTCTGATTACCTGCTCAAGAACCAACGCAATCTGCAGACAAGCCGCAACAGCACACCAGAGTAACAAACCTACACACACCTACACACACCTTCCCTAAACGAACCACCCGCCTGCAAACCAACCCGCACGCAAACCCACCCGCGCGTAAACCCACCCACACCCAAACCCACCCGCATGCAAACCCACCCGCATGAAAACCCACTCGCACGCAAACACACCCGCACCCAAACCCGCATGCAAACCCACCCGCATTACGACCAGCTACCATGACGACCAGCTATCATGACGACCAGCTACCATGATGACCAGCTGCTATGACGACCAGCTATCATGACGACCAGCCACCAGGACGACCAGCTACCATGACGAACAGCCACCATGACGACCAGCTACCATGACGACCAGCTGCCATGACGACCAGCTGCCATGATGGCCAAGACACCACGTTTACTGGTTAGGTTGTTGACCAGCCACTACATTAAGCCCGGCTTCGCACAGAACACAGTTTTTTGGTTTTTACTAAGTCCACATGACATGCAAAGCAGCGGTGCAGCATCGCAGGCATGAATCGTGGACGTGGTGACCGGGTCTGATCTGCTGCTGTGGACATGAAAATCAGGTCGAATAACCGCGACTGGCGCCCTCAGTGCGTACAGAACGTTGCATGCACAGTGCACATGTTGGTCGCATGCGAACGCACGGCTGCGTGGCCGGCGCACTGGGTCCGCTTGACCTCCGACTGGATTTCCCTGTTCACGACAGTACATACAGTAGGCATTGGAAGCCACCTAATCCATCAACACTGCTACAGTCGATTCATAGGAGACTGGGCACCCTAACCTTTTGGTGTCTCCCAGATCCAAAAATCAGATTTTTATAAAGTTCAATTCAAATAGAAGAAATCACATGGAAACGAGTTATGAAGCAACTATCCACGACTGTGTAGCAGCCAGAATGTGCGATAACAGGGCACAAAACTGACAGGCTACTGAGACCTAGCTCTAACACATGTCCATGTGATTTCTTCTATTTTTTAAATATATTTGCTGGCTCAGTATTCCAGTTAATTTTTCAAGTTTAAAGTGATTTTTAGCCTCAATTCGGCCGAAATCGGGCTTTCAAAATCCAGCGGGACTATTTCCGATTGTTGGTCTGTAGAGTTATCATGGTTACATAGAGATAGGTTAGACAGTGGTCTGTAGAGTAACATAGAGATAGGTTAGACAGTGGTCTGTAGAATTATATGGAGACAGGTTAGATAGTGGCCATGTGTCCACCAGGGAGTTGTGGCCTGCAGGTGAGACAATACGGGCAACTGTAAACCAACCAAGGAGTCGTAGCCTACAGAGGGAGACAATACCGATGGTTATAAGTCCACCAGGGAGTTGTAGCCTACAGAGGGAGACAATACCGATGGTTATAAGTCCACCAGGGAGTTGTAGCCTACAGGGGGAGAGAATACCGATGGTTATAATTCCACCAGGAAATCGCAGCCTACAGGGGGAGACAATACCGATGGTTATAAGTCCACCAGGGATTCGAAGCCTACAGAGGGAGACAATACCGATGGTTATAAGTCCACAAAGGGGTCGTAGCCTACAGAGGGAGACAATACCGATGGTTATAAGTCCACAAGGGAGTCGTAGCCTGAAGACGGAAACAATACCGATGGCTATAAGTCCACCAGGGAGTTGTAGCCTACAGAGGGAGACAATACCGATGGTTATAAGGCCACCAGGGAGTAGTAGCCTACAGAGAGAGACAATACCGATGGTTATAAGTCCACCAGGGAGTGGTAGCCTACAGAGGGAGACAATACCGATGGTTATAAGTCCACCAGGGAGTTGTAGCCTACAGAGGGAGACAATACCGATGGTTATAAGTCCACAAGGGAGTCGTAGCCTACAGGGGGAGACAATACCGATGGTTATAAGTCCACCAGGGAGTCGTAGCCTACAGAGGGAGACAGTACCGATGGTTATAAGTCCACCCAGGAGTCGTAGCCTACAGGGGGAGACAATACCGATGGTTATAAGTCCACCAGGGAGTCGTAGCCTACAGAGGGAGACAATACCGATGGTTATAAGTCCACCAGGGAGTCGTAGCCTACAGAGGGAGACAACACCGATGGTTATAAGTCCACCAGGGAGTCGTAGCTTACAGAGGGAGACAATACCGATGGTTATAAGTCCACAAGGGGGTCGTAGCCTACAGAGGGAGACAATACCGATGGTTATAAGTCCACAAGGGAGTCGTAGCCTAAAGACGGAAACAATACCGATGGCTTTAAGTCCACCAGGGAATTGTAGCCTACAGAGGGAGACAATACCGATGGTTATAAGGCCACCAGGGAGTAGTAGCCTACAGAGAGAGACAATACCGATGGTTATAAGTCCACCAAGGAGTCGTAGCCTACAGGGGGAGACAATACCGATGGTTATAAGTCCACCAGGGAGTCGTAGCCTACAGAGGGAGACAATACCGATGGTTATAAGTCCACCAGGGAGTCGTAGCCTACAGAGGGAGACAATACCGATGGTTATAAGTCCACCAGGGAGTTGTAGCCTACAGGGGGAGACAATACCGATGGTTATAAGTCCACCAGGGAGTCGTAGCCTACAGAGGGAGACAATGCCGATGGTTATAAGTCCACAGGGAGTTGTAGCCTACAGGGGGAGACAATACCGATGGTTATAAGTCCACCAGGGAGTCGTAGCCTACAGCGGGAGACAATACCGATGGTTATAAGTCCACCAGGGAGTCGTAGCCTACAGAGGGAGACAATACCGATGGTTATAAGTCCACCAGGGAGTTGTAGCCTACAGGGGGAGACAATACCGATGGTTATAAGTCCACCAGGGAGTCGTAGCCTACAGCGGGAGACAATACCGATGGTTATAAGTCCACCAGGGAGTCGTAGCCTACAGAGGGAGACAACACCGATGGTTATAAGTCCACCAGGGAGTTGTAGCCTACAGAGGGAGACAATACCGATGGTTATAAGTCCACCGGGGAGTTGAAGCCTACAGAGGGAGACAATACCGATGGTTATAAGTCCACCAAGGAGTCGTAGCCTACAGGGGGAGACAATACCGATGGTTATAAGTCCACCAGGGAGTCGTAGCCTACAGAGGGAGACAATACCGATGGTTATAAGTCCACCAGAGAGTCGTAGCATACAGAGGGAGACAATACCGATGGTTATAGGTCCACCAGGGAGTCCTAGCCTACAGAGGGAGACAATACCGATGGTTATAAGTCCACCAGGGAGTTGTAGCCTACAGGGGGAGACAATACCGATGGTTATAAGTCCACCAGGGAGTTGTAGTCTACAGAGTGAGACAATACCGATGGTTATAAGTCCACCAGGGAGTCGTAGCCTACAGGGGGAGACAATGCCGATGGTTATAAGTCCACCAGGGATTCGAAGCCTACAGAGGGAGACAATACCGATGGTTATAAGTCCACAAGGGAGTCGTAGCCTACAGAGGGAGACAATACCGATAGTTATAAGTCCACCAGGGAGTGGTAGCCTACAGAGGGAGACAATACCGATGGTTATAAGTCCACCAGGGAGTGGTAGCCTACAGAGGGAGACAATACCGATGGTTATAAGTCCACCAGGGAGTAGTAGCCTACAGAGGGAGACAATACCGATGGTTATAAGTCCACCAGGGAGTAGTAGCCTACAGAGGGAGACAATACCTATGGTTATAAGTCCACCAGGGAGTCGTAGCCTACAGACGGAGACAATACCGATGGTTATAAGTCCACCAGGGAGTTGTAGCCTAGAGAGGGAGACAATACCGATGGTTATAAGTCCACCAGGGAGTTGTAGCCTACAGAGGGAGACAAAACCGATGGTTATAACTCCACCAGGGAGTTGTTACAGAGGGAGACAATACCGATGGTTATAAGTCCTCCAAGGACTCGTAGCCTACAGGGGGAGAGAATACCGATGGTTATAAGTCCACCCGGGAGTCGTAGCCTACAGAGGGAGACAATACCGATGGTTATAAGTCCACCAGGGAGGTGTAGCCTACAGAGGGAGACAATACCGATGGTTATAAGTCCACCAAGGAGTCGTAGCCTACAGGGGGAGACAATACCGATGGTTATAAGTCCACCAGGGAGTCGTAGCCTACAGAGGGAGACAGTACCAATGGTTATAAGTCCACCAAGAAGTCGTAGCCTACAGAGGGAGACAATACCGATGGTTATAAGTCCACCAGGGAGTGGTAGCCTACAGAGGGAGACAATACCGATGGTTATAAGTCCACAAGGGGGTCGTAGCCTACAGAGGGAGACAATACCGATGGTTATAAGTCCACCAGGGAGTTGTAGCCTACAGAGTGAGACAGTACCAATGGTTATAAGTCCACCAGGGAGTCGTAGCCTACAGCGGGAGACAATACCGATGGTTATAAGTCCACCAGGGAATCGTAGCCTACAGAGGGAGACAGTACCAATGGTTATAAATCCACCAGGGAGTCGTAGCCTACAGAGGGAGACAATACCGATGGTTATAAGTCCACCAGGGAGTTGTAGCCTACAGAGGCAACAATATGGATGACTGTAAACCAAACAGGGAGTGGTAGCCTACAGAGGGAGACAATACAGGTGGCTGTTGTTTATTCACAACTACCAAGGAGGACAACAAACGCATATGGAAACAGGAGCTTCAGGCGAGTGCATACGAGGTGCAGGAGTTGCACCATACATCCGCTGTAAGTCCACCAGGGAGTCGTAGTCTACAGTGGAGACAATACGGTGGCTGTAAGTCTACCAGGGAGTCGTAGTCTACAGTGGAGACAATACGGGTGACCGCAACTCTAGTGGGTATCGACCCGGCACTGCCTGTTACAGTCAGCTTTGGGGCAGGACCAATTCATACAGGCTTGCATCTGCATCGCCTGTCTGGATCGAGCTCGGAGTCAGCATGTCAAACCTGCGATCATAATCGCGGATTTCCATCGATTTTATTTACCCAATGCTGTAGACAGCAGGCTGTTTATATACTTAATTTATTTATTACAACATCTCAAGACTCAGCGGAAACACCGGCCAATGGGAAGAGAGTGGGTGATAGCAGCCTTTCTAGTTCACCTGCAGAATTCCGATCATCCATCAAGACTTTCTTTAAATAATAAATAAATTTCACGGTTCGCGCGAGACTCGGCTGTAAGCCGAGTTTTCCGCATCCGTCGTAGGAACGCCACCACCCTTTAGGATCAAGGCGCAGATGCAGAGCCTAAACGGTGGGAGGTGAGTAGATCAGACCCACCACCAAGTGGTCAAAGACTTTCTTTGGGTTCCCTGTAAGAAGGCGATGACGCCTGTTGGGAATTCCCCAGTAAAATAAGAATAAAAATTAAAATAAGAAAGAAGAAATCGCCAACCACGACGATAAGGGTCAGTGGGGGTTAGAAGGGGAAATGAAAGGATTGAATAGAAAACGGATTAGGTAGTACTTTCAGATCCGTGATCGAAACGCACATCACTTTGAACACTGTGATTTTGAATCATCTCCGCGGACGCTACGACTCCCTAATGTGCACACAGAGGCCTCCCGCTTACCGTCACCATCCATCTCGCTATCTGCACAGCACTGGTAGGATGTCCTACACGCTGTCCATGCTCCAATGTATTATGGCAATATACTGCAGAGAAAGACAATCAGTAGACAGACAATGAGAGCGCAGACAACACTACCAGAACAGCTAGGCACGAGAGAGACGAACAGAAGGCAGAAAACCGACAGCTCTACCATAGGGGGTCTGATGATCTTGGGTTTTTGGAATAAGGAGTCCGAAAAGCAGCAGCATGGCAGTGACAATCAGAAGACTGACTATCAGGAGACTGACAATCAGGAGGCTGACAATCGTGAGTCATACAAATCTTTCTGCTGGGTTGTGCGTAGCAAGAGAGCCCAGCCACGCTGATCCACAGCACACTGTGCCACTCAGATAGCAAGCTGGAGCGGGAGAGCTAGATTTTCCATCCTGCAAATGTGTACAGTACCAAGTACCGGCAGCCATTTTGCTTTCAAGTAAGACTTTTTGATGTCGCAAAGTTAATGATTATGTCGTTAAACAGGTATTTCCCTTTATTTATTCCCGTAGCTATGCAGAATACGTTACTTCAGTAACGTCTGGCGCTAGCCAGGGTCCACACAGCTTTAACCCTTTAGGGCCCACAATTATTTCAAGAAATGCACTGCATACGCGAGCCCAGTTACTTATCTGGTCGTAAAGTTGGTGTCCTTTGGCCGATTTTGGTGATCTTGAGCTTTCTGGAAAGCTCTTGGCCAGAGAAACACAGCGATAGCCAGCAATCCATCACTCGATCCACAGAACCAGCGCCGCAGCGCGATACGGCGCTCCAAAGCCAGCATTGCGAGCGCCCAACTCAAATTCTCTGCCATTTCAACAAATTGCATCGCAGATCACTCAAATTGTTTTGCTGGAGAGCTGAGAAACATGCCTTTGCGATGACGTGAACTATCTGTAGCTGCAAGGGCCGCGAGTCAGGGAAAACCCCTAAAAACGAGTTCAAAATGCACGCGCTCGAGTTGACTCTGCTGAGCGAATTTAGTTCGAGTCTCGTATCTCTGCTCTCCGACCTCGGATCGCCTTCGGGTTTATTCGAGCCGATAGCTGAGACAGTTCTAATGTCGATAGCCCTTTCGATTGTCCGATTTGGTCAAGGGACAGCCGAGTTACGCCAGGTTGCGCTTTGAAAAGTATGCACTGTACACTGGTACGGATATATCCGTACTATGGGCCTCAAAGGGTTAAGTGGGTGTTTGTTTGTGTGTTTGTGTCACGCCTGGCGCTATCCCGTATCTGTCCCGTACCGTACCGTACCATCAAACACAGCTGGCCACATACAGCTGGCCGCACTATTCAAATAGGGCTTTCAAACGCAAGATCATAACGTGAAGCAACTTGGAAGAATGAGTATGAATGCGAAGTGTATGGGGGAAGATATGTAGGGCGATAGTGCAAGTTCGAATCCCAGGTAATGCCTGAAAAATAGGAGATTCGAAAAATTTATAACATCTCTATGCTTTTTTTGCCGTCATCAAGGCGGTAGATGGTGTCGTATTACCCTCGATCGTACCTGTCCCGTACCGTACCGTACAATCAAAGACGGCTGGCCACAATGCATATTCAAATAGGGCTTTCAAATACAAGATCATAACGTGAAGCAACTTGGAAGAATTAGTATGTATGCGAAGTGTATCGGGGGATGCATGCAGGGCGATAGTGCGGGTTCGAATCCCAGGTTATGCCTAAAAACAAAAAGTAGAAATTTATAAGAATTTATAACATCCCTATGCTTCTTTTTGTCTAGGTCATCAAGGCAAAAAAAGCATAGCGTAGGGCCCTGAGCTTCCAAGCTCTCTCGTTAAAGGGGAAGTATACCCTAAAAATCAAATTTTCACCGGTGGTAGTCTTCGGGGTGCAGAGTCGAATGGTCTTGGTGCGAGGAAGTGAGACGCTCCCTTCCTCCTTTATTCCCAATCGAACTCGCGCACTTCCACCGAAACTGGGTGACTGTGCCCTACTAGATACGGATTTGTATGGAAAAATGACTAAAAATGCCGTTTCGTTCTTATAAAAGCACGGAGAACCGCGATTGGTCCATATGTTGTAGTCTTTTGGCCGCTGAGTCGACTGGTTTTGGTCCGAAAAGGCTGCGATGCAGCGTTCGGCCCTTTTTCCCAATCGAACACGGTTAAGTAATCGGTCACGTGCTGATGCGTACACCAGTCACCTGGTCATCAGGCCCTCAGGCTACAATTTTCAGCCTGTTTGGGCCCGTTCCTGTCACTGTAGTTGAACCTTTGAACCAGGGAGTCGTAAAAGCCTCTTACGACTCCCTAGTTTGAGCCTTTGAGTCGAACCTTGGTGTGAAAAATGTAGCCTGCATGCATGGTGACCAGGCGACTGGTGTACGCATGAGTCACGGGCGCCTTGGTCTACCGGGCAGCACCCTTTGCGTGAGTTTTAGTGAAAATAGTACCACTCTTCTGACACGTTTTGTGGGAAATAGTGACGTCACAGGCTCTACCTCTGGCTCTTTCCCGTCGAAACGCATGTGGTTTAGAGTTCGGGACATTTCAAAGGTACGGGCAGTGCCCGGACCCGGACCGCCCGGATCAGCGAAATACTGTATATTATGTAGAAATATTCGTCTGGAGTTTTATTTCTAAGTAAATACATGTGTTTACGGACGGCCCCTTATGATCCATGGACAAAATTTACAACTAGACGAGCTCCCTTTCTGTGGAGTTGGACGAAATTATTGACCGACGAAATTTTCTGCCTGTACATTATGATTTTGCTGTCTTGGCTCACTGGTACAGTTGAGTGAGTGATCATGCTGTACAGGCATAGTCATTGTACTCCGTTTATAAAGCCATGATGCAGCTTTGTACATGACGGCGGTGACAAGAAACGTACTCTGCACAGACTAACACAACGGCCCTTCTTCGAATTACATCAGCATGCCTGCAACCCCAGATCCTATTACTGGAGTATGTTGTTCATGGCTGTACGGCAGACAGAAGTCCTGCTGTACTTGATGATCATTATTTATAACAAGAGTAAGACCTCCCAAGAGTGTGTAACTCCCGCATACCCTGTTGTCCCGACAGGATTTCAAGTTGACGTCATTTTTATGATGCAATGCTCCTTGCACCGGGGATTTACGACATTTGCACGGGGTGTCAACACATCGCACGTTGTCTTTGATCTAGTTTGTACCGGATCAAATATGGCTTTTTTGTCCACCACAGGATCAAATATGGCATATTTGTCCACCACATGTTCAGGTAATACTTGTACAGTGCGCACTGCATCATAACTATGACGTCAACTTGAAATTCTGTCGGGACAGCACCCATAGTGGAGTTGCACACTCTCGGAGGGTTATGAATGAGCTGTGGATTTCCTGTGCTCTCCGATTTCGTCGGTTGCTTGTTCTGTGAGCGATTCATTCCGACAGCTGCTCAACCCGGCCCAAATGATTCTACGGCACCGTAAAGTACCGCCAGAGCGCCCCGTCTCGCGAGAGCGCCCCACCGTGATTTTTACAGCCAAGGGAAGAAAATCGTATGGCAGAATGCTACTAAGTTTGTACGGTGTCAGAACCTTTTTTGTGCTAAGGTCACACTCGGCATGTTTTTATGTGCAGCTCGCATCCGCTCGAAGGTAAACTGGGTACGGATTGACTGCATAACGTGCAATGTGTGTACAAGGTCCGTGTCGTATGACCTACAGACAGGACACCACCTGCACAAGACGACCACGAAAGGACGAGATGGTGGGGCGCACTGGCGGTACTTAACGGTACTGCACAATGAAATCCAGTCGAGTCGCTCAAATACACGCCATACCAGGCGTTGTGCAGTACTAGCCCTGCGAACACTGGGCTTCGAAATGCTGCAAGGTGGCAACTAAGTTACTTGAGTGACGACGCGACTGGATTTCAATGAGCGACACTGAACATCTAATCTTAGTACACTTACAGGTTACAGCAAACACAGGACAAACATAATTATTTCGCAACGCCAACAACGCGAAATCTACTAACCTGTTGATTAGGGCAACAGGGCAACAGGGGTCGCAGGGTGCAGCTTCAGTCCTCTGTCCAGTCTGCTTCACTTGATTCTTTAGAGATCAGAGCATCCGCTAACACTCGCGGTGTACCGGCCGAGTCCGACTGCTGTCCGCACGGCCGGTTGCGCACCACCGACCCGTCCGTCGCAACGCCAGCGATAGCTACCGAGAACCGACGGTCCGTAAATAAGAGAAGTGCGAGCACCTCAGGCTCTTCAAAGTCTGGAGTCACCAGCGGGCAGAGACAATCACAAGGATGTTGAGGACAGGGAAAGCCGAGCCACACCGGCGCACCGGCTTTCAAGAAGGATCGGAGACGATCCAGTGGGCTACTTCTTGCCTGAAAAACCTGCTAATAATATCCACAGTTTGGCAGAAGTGACCGACTAGATGTGAGGAGGTGCCGGCAAAGGTATCAGCTGCGCGGGAGATCTACCGACGCGCACACGCCGACTCTCTCCGCGGTGTTTCTGTCTCCACGGCCCACGCCACGGGCACGCACGAAACCTAGAGCCGTAGAGGTACAGCACTACAGTACAGACACCTGGTGACAGAGTTAGAAGAATTGGCGCTGAGCACTAGCGCTAAAAAAATAAATGACCTTGTCTTTGAGGCTGAACGCGTGAAGGACTGCAGCAGTGAAGGACGAAAAGCAATCAAACCGCTGTACTGTGGTTCGCAGCACAAACATGCTTGCATACAGTAGTAGAGGTCTAAGGTCATTACAATCATGGGCATGGTTGACCCGGCTGGGTGCTCGAACGTCAATCGGCCACGGCATGCCAACTCCGACCACCGACTCGAGCTCTCTTGATCTTCGTTGTACGACGTCTTGCTGTCATCTCTTTTTTTACTTGAAAACACGCACCCAATCCGTAAAAAAAGGAAGGAGGAAATGACAAAAAATAAAAATGAATGGGGCGGCACTTTTTTTTTATGGGGCTGCAATCGTAACTAACTACTTACTTCGTTAGTACTAGATCTACAGGGCAGCGGTTGCGATGGTGTGCTACAGCCTTGCAGGCTCCGACGCCCAAGCCAAGGTCTCGACCATCGCGCCTAGGCTATAGCCTACTTCATGCATGGAGGGAAAATGGGGAGAGAAAAAAAAAGGAAAGGAGATTCATAGAGTGCGGATGCTGAAGCCATGAAGGATGGAGCAGAAGTGAGAAGATAACAGTGAAATAAGGGTGTGTTTGTGAGGTGCACGTGAGTATGTGTGAGTGAGTGAATGAGTGAGTTGGTGAGAGTGTGTGTGTGTGAGAGAGAGAGAGAGAGAGAGAGAGAGAGAGAGAGAGAGAGAGAGAGAGAGAGAGAGAGAGAGTGTGTGTGTGTGTGTGCGTGTGTGTGTGTGTGTGTGTGGTGTGAGTGTGTGTGTGTGTGTGTGTGTGTGTGTTTGTGTGAGTGTGTGTGTGTGTGTGTGTGTGTGTGTGTGTGTGTGTGTGTGTGTGTGTGTGTGTGTGTGTGTGTGTGTGTGTGTGTGTGTGTGTGTGTGTGTGTGTGTGTGTGTGTGCGCGCGCCCGGCACTTCGCACGTCAGGGTGACCTCGCTAGGCACAAGTGCACGGCTGAACGGCAGAAGCCGGTTTCGGAGCAGAGAGGTGCATGTCAGTGCCCTCCGTGTCATCGTTGGTTCCGGAGCCGCAGAGGCTTGGCCGTGCATCGTTGCTCCGCTTCTACCTCGTGCCCACTGGTACCGACCGAACCAGCTGCTGTTGTCACCGGTGACACTACCGCTCGGAGGTGCTGCAAATATACACGAAGCGCTCGTACATAATTATACTCATGTACATGTAGATGATCTCAGACTACAAACAATATAGCTGTGCCACCAAACGTGTCCTCTAACCCAGCCACGACCAATCCAGAATTGACTCATGCTCGCCTATACGAGTTCCATAGCCTCACGGCAAATCACATACACACTTTAACCGCTCATGCATTTGGGCGGTAGTTGGAGTCTGCAAAGCGGTGGGCAACATGGCGGCCATCCAGCTGGAACTGCTCCGCGGGCTCCGCTCCTCGTGAATGGAAGCCTCGGTGAGTCCAAAAATTCAATAATTATACTGTGTTGTTGGTGAACTAATAATCCCTGTGTTACCGCCTTCGTGCAACCAAACTAGCCGAAGAAATGCAGACCCCCCCCCCCCCCCCCCCCCCTGCCGGTGCGTCTGCCCAGTGTTGACTCCGAGACCCACAGTCGGACGAGCTGCCCAGGCCTCACCACCACTGCCGTTTCCGTGCTGCCTTCTCGATACATACGTATGTACACTGTATATCATGTGCACATTCACATGTCTGAAGGTTTGTGGTTTTTCAATAAAATAAAAAATAAAAAGGCCAGCTAATGAGTTTGGTCTGTTTTCCTACACTGATAGTCTGGAAAGCACCTTGTGCCCGCAGCGTGTGAGAACGCCAAAAAGAGCGAAGTAAGTGAAGGAACTGCTCCAATCAGGATGCGTGTTCTGTTTATCTTTCCACAGGCAGTGACATGGAGGGTAATAGGCGTCAGAGGCCTGCAGGCGACACGTAACTAAGCCATAAGATCCTCCCTCAGCCTGCCATGCACGTAGGGTTACCTAAGAGGATAAGATAGCACCTTCTTAAAAATCATTTATACCAAAGTATGCCGACCAGCTAACGAGTTTGGTCTGTTTTGTTGCACTAAATGTCTGGAAAGCACCCTGTTCCGCAGCGAGTGAGAGCACCAAAAAGAGCGAATTAACCCGTTCAATCAGGATGCGCTGTCTGGTTATCTTTGCACAGTGGGTGACGCTGACCTACACGGCTACAGTGACATCGGCTGCATCTGTCACTGCATTCCCGTTATTAGGCTGGCGACCTTATTGAGGGGGGGGGGGGGAGACAGAAAAAGAGGAAGGGAAGAAAATACGTAAGTGGGTCAAGCTCAGGGCTACACTAAAGCAAGTACGGAATGGGATTATACTGCTTAGCATCCCACAAATAGTGCGAAACACGTTCCCTACTCTTCAGTCCGCTATACCACAGAAACGATTATGAGTCTGACTACCGCCGTACCGGGGTATGCGGAAACACAGTGCAGAACGTGCATCCGTTCCCAGTCAGGATAATAATCATTATGATGCTGTGCCTTTCTGTTCCTTTTGGAACGCGATTCCGTGCACTGCCACTGTTGGCCCCGATAAGGCGATAGCAGGCAGACGCTCACATCTGCAGAGTCCTCCGTGCCTTTTTTCAACCCATTTGGATCGTTGCAGCGCCAATCCAACATGCAGTAGCCGATCCGATGGCGCTCCATCAGGCAAACGGAAAGCTGCACACGCCAACACGGGTAGATGTACATAAGCTGCCACAGGGACTTGGAGCTTATGTACTGTAGGACTTTTGAGTCTTGTCTCTTGACGCCACCGACAGCCATTGGCATCGCCACGGCACAGCGCCCTCCAAGAAAGAAAGAAACAAACGTCCAGGACTCCAGTGTCATGTCGTGGCAAGAGTATACACAATGCCATGCACTTGCACTTTGCAGGGTTATGTTACTCGTGGTCGTAGTCATGGTACAGTCGTCCCTCTCTAATCCAGCACTTAATAAACCAGCACCCTCGATAAACCAGCACAATTTTCAGCAGCCAAAAAGTCCTCTTCATGCACATTGCAGCAGTAAATCAGATTTGTTAATCCAGCACCCTCCCTAATCCAGCAGATCTTCAGTGGCACAAAATTAATGGTGCCGGATTATAGAGGGACCACTGTGGTAGTACTAGTAGTGGCGCAAGCTGCGCTTCGACGAGTGTTAACGACTCTGAGTCTGATGCTTGATGGCCTCGCACGAGGGATATGCCCGTCGGTGGCTTGTAGGAAGCTACATTGTAGGAATCGAGGAAAATACACAGGTACTTGGCCAGGGGCAAGTATAATGGCAGAGCTGCATGCTGGCGAGCGAAGTCAACATGCCAATTCCATGGCTCAATACCAGCTGAGCTGGGATTTTGTTGATCGGGCCAGGCCAGGATCGGGCCGTTCGCTGAAAACAGGCTGTGTGTCCTTGATCCAGTGTATATTGCTGCTGACTAGCGTTGGAGAAAGTCAGTTGCCCTTGCCAGTGCTGCATGGCCGGTGTAGTTAGTTCTAAGTCCGCGGCCGTCAAAAGAGATCTTCCTCCTTTATCTGCAGACTCAAGACAGAGACAAGCCAGTGGTGGAAGAGATACGAGAAAGCCAAACGTTCCCAGCAGCATTTCAAGCAGCAAGCCAACAAGTAGTGCTTCGAGATTTTTGTCGTCAGGCAACGAGATCGAGAGCGAGCCTGGAAAACAAACAAGGAAGTCGCACGCCCACGTCACGGAATTAGCCGCACAGACAAGATGACCAGTTTCCTTCCAGTTCGTTGTGGCCTGTTGTTGGCCATATTTCTGTTGATGGTCAGTTCGATTGGGAACATTGGTGTGTCGTCAGCGAGCAGTAGTAGAAACGAGCCACAGGAGAGCATCGACCGAACAGCGCACTCGACGAAATTGGAGTTGGATGAGGACTGGAACGCGGACGTGCGGGAGTACGTGTTCAAGGCGCTGTCCTTGGAATTCGTGTCCGATTCCAGCCGGTGGGCGTCCTCAACGGCGCGGGAGAAGCGCGAGCTGCCGCCGCAGCAGCAGCCACAACAAGAGCAGCAGGAAGGCATTGGCGGTGATTCGAATAGCGTGTTCACCTGGTCCGACTGCAGTCAACCCGGCTCTCCGGTGAGCATCAAAACGCTGCAGCTGACGCCAGACCCGATCCGGGTACCGGGCACTGCCTCACTCAACCTGGTACTGACGTCAGAACAGGCGGTCGGTGGCCCCATCAAACTGGACCTGAAGATCTTCAAGCTGATCTTCAAGTACATCTGGCACAAGCTTGACTGCACCGATGGCATGGGATCGTGCCTATACGAGGACGTGTGCACGGTGCTGAAGGAGAAATTTCCATCGTGCCCCGGCAACACGACTTGCCACTGCCCTTTCCCGGCGGGGTCGCCCCATCTGCAGCGTGTGTTCCAGATTCCCACTCCGCGGGGGATTCCCCTCCAGCTGGTTGATGGAAAGTACCACGTGATCGCTAACGCCACACACACGGGCAGCGATGGCCACTTCAACTTCTGCATTGATCTGCATCTGGCGCTGCACGTAGACTTGTGAGTTAGGCGTGTACTGCTCCTGTCCTAATGTTATGTACAGTGTAGTGTATGCACATTGATCACCCAGTGAGCTCATGGCTCACAAATCCTGCATATGCACACACACACACACACACACACACACACACACACACACACACACACACACACACACACACACACACACACACACACACACACGCCTCAGACCTCAGACCTGCCCATCGCGGAAGCGATGATAGCGAACAGCAATGTTAAACATAGCACCTTGTGCTGGGATTACACCACTCAACAGCTTGCAAGGCTGATGAATTGACCACCACTAATTTTAGCCTGGTATCCACCACACAGCTGATCTGATTGAAGTGGCTTATTCTGGCCAGTGAATCCTTATTTTTCATTTTTTCATTTTTTCCATTTTTTCATTTTTTTTTACACACACGCCACACCACATACTCCGGCATGCACTGGCTGTTGGTAACCACCCAGGAGAATGAAAGAAGAGCTAGGAGAATGAGAAAGAGAAGAAAGACGTGTGCGACCACAATCGTCGGGAATTGAACCCGCAACCTCTGGATTGGAAATCGACTGCACATACCACTGACACACACACACACACACACACACACACACACACACACACACACACACACACACACACACACACACAGTCACACACACACAGTCACAGACACACACACACACACACACACACTAGGCTTTCCCCAAATCGGCCGGCCGGAAAATTTGCCGAAAACGAGACTTCTCGAAAATCACTAAGCTTTTCGCCGATTTTGGAGGGTTCCTTTGAGAATCTTCGGAAATCTACCAAATGTTGTCACAAAGAGCGTTTACGAACGAATAATGTTCCTGCAAACATGTCCGCTCGAGCTCTCTACTTCACTACTTGTAGTGCAAGTGCGTTGAGGTCATGTGACTCGTGTATAGGTCATGTGACTCGTGTTCTTTGACCTCCTCTCAAACAAACACTAGCCATTTAAGAAGATCGTTTCTAGTAAAAATCCCCAAATCGGCCGGCCGAAAAATTCGCCGTATACTAGTAGGTCATGACGGCTCATCAGGTGTGCAAAATGTAACTCGGATGGTGAGCCAATTAAATTATTGTGAAAAGAAGAAGGACAAAATGTTACGAGTTATGACTAACTGTCCACCAACGTAACCAGATCTTATACAGTCAGCGAATGTCGTGTGTAACTACTTGTTATTGTACATAACTAGCCCATCATATTTACATGATAGTGGAGTTCAGTAGGATGTTGACGTTTCGGTTTGTCACAATTCGTCTTCGCTTAGCTTCCCCTTTCTACGTTTATTACATAAACTTGAGCCTCCCAAGTTGGATGGTCTGTTGCTTTGTGTCGTCGAGTTGTAGTAAGGCCGATATGTCGAATAGTCTTACTAGTGTCGTCATCATCCAGTAACTTTCGGCATTCTTTGTTGCCGTGATGCGTAGCTCGTGCTCTTCTTTTTTTGCGGTTTCCTTCCCCTCTTGGACCTTTCCGAACCTGAGCCTTCCAAGTTGGAAGGTTGTTGGTTTGCGCCTTGGAGAAGTGTTGGAGCTAGGTGTCAGGTCGCCGAATGTCTCAGTACTCCTTGTCAGTGTTGTGCCATGTTGTCGCATTCGCTGACTGTATAAGATCTGGTTACGTTGGTGGACAGTTAGTCATAACTCGTAACGTTTTGTCCTTCTTCTTTTCTCAATAATTATCATTATTATTGTGATTTCTTACCCGTGGCCACAAAGTAAACCATTGCCAGGAGGGAGTAGTAAAATACTGTATTTTACTACTCCCTCCTGTCAACGGTACAACAACTTATGACTGTATTACTAGTACATGTACATTGTATGTTAGTCGCCTCGCCATACATGACTGTACGTCAACTCAGCGTTGTAACTACAGTAAAACCTGTCAAGGCGACCACTCGGATAAGGCGACCACCTGTCCTAGAAGATCACTGAAACTGGCACCAAGGGATGCTATTTCCAGTCAAATGACCCTGGGTAAGGACACCACCTGGATACAGAGACTGAAGGCCCCTTGAGCGGTCGTCTTAGACAGGTTTCACTGTACATAATTAGTTTCCTTTTGGCTTTGCCTTTTCCGAGTGAAGATGGTTTGCCCGAACATTCGAATGCCGCTTTCAGTTCTTGGCGTGGCCCAGAGACCGTTTGGAGTGTTGTGCAGATGCACATGTTGCACGGGTGGATATAATTATATCTCGGAGATGTATGGTACATGGATAGAGAACTGGAGCAGACGTTCAAGGAAGTACCTGCCACAAGGTGTGCCTGGTTCTGCCGATCTCACCGCCTTTCGAGCAGAATCTCCCAATTTATCGACCATTGTTCGCCAAGGCTACTTGCAAATGTATGCTCATACGTGTACAGGTACATACAATGCACATACCAAACAATAAGAGGAGGGGAAAAGTGTTTTAACTCTGAGTTTCACGCACTAAGTGATCATCAGAAAACAACTGAGCTAGCTCTGCCTCTCGGTATTGAGTACACTCTTGGACAGTCTGGAACCTCTCTGTTTTATAATGTACATACCGGTATATGTACAATGAATGTGCATTTAAAAAAAAATAAACAATAGGACACGAGTCACAGAGTACCACACATCTGGATTGTTGTACCTAATAGTTTCATGCCAACAATCCAGACGCGTGGTAGATCTACTCTGTGACCCGTGTGTTATTTAACCCCGTCGAATGTGAACTAGGCTGCTCTGCTTCTGCATTGAGCACTCTATCGAACCGGAGGACTCCGCTCTCTGTAATTAGCTCTAGCTAAGCCTTGGCCTTGGCGGACAATGCTCGAACAAATGGCAGAGTCTGCTCGAAAGCAGTGAAGTCGGCAGAACCATGCAAACCATATGGCATGGCAGGTACACTGTACTGTGCACTTCCTTGAAGTCTGCTCATGTCTTTATCCATATACTGTACATCTAATACCAAACATGCAGGAACACACACCAGAAAAGAAAAAGTACCTCGATCAGCGAATGTTTCTGCAGCCAAGGGCTAGATCTACTATACATGCCTGTCTGATTACCATAGCGAGAGTTCCCAGATTGCCTAGAGTGCTCAACACCACAACGGGATGGAGCATTACCACAAAGGCAGAAGAGAACAGAGGTAGCCGGCTATCTCTGTTCTCTTCTGCCTGTGTGCCTGTCTGATTATGTTGTAAGATGTTTATTTAACCTCGCACCAGAAACAGGCGGTTTCGCCTCCTTTGATACAAGCATGTGGACGGCAGAGGGAATGAGAGAGAGAGGGGCCCGGGGGGAGGGGGACAGAAAGAGAGGAAGGGAAGAAAATACATAATTATGTGGGTCAAGCTCAGGGCTACACTAAAGCAAAAACGGAATGGGAATATACTGTATAGCATCCCACAAATAATGCGAACACGTTTCCTACTCTTCAGTCCGCTATACCATAGAAACGATTATGAGTAGCCCTAATTATGAGTCTGACTACCCGGGTCCTGCATGCGTAAACACAGTGCAAAACGTGCATCCGTTGCCAGTCAGGTTTGCCGGTTAGTTCATGCACACCTGACGTAATACTGTGCCTTTCTGTTCCTTTTGGAACGCCATTCCGTGCACTGCCACTGTGGGCCCCGATAAGGCGATAGCAGGCAGACGCTCACATCTGCAGAGTCCTCCGTGCTTTTTCCAACCCATTTGGATCGTTCCAGCGCTAATCCAACATGCAGTAGATTCGCTGGCGCTCCATCTTTATTAGCCTATCGTCGATTAACTGCTCCCTCTACATAAAGTTGTCATTTCATTATTCTCTCAAGTTGCAGGAGATCCCCTCGACAGGCCCAAAGCCTTTGGGAAATCCGTAAATATAATAAAATACAAAAATCTGGCAGGAGGAAAGCTGCTCACGCCAACACGGGTAGATGCACATAAGCTGCCATGGGGGCTAGGAGCTTACGTACCATAGTACAATGTAGTCTACTCTTGAGTCTTGTCTCTTGACGCCATTGTTGTTATTATTATTATTATTATTATTATTATTATTATTATTATTATTATTATTATTATTATTATTATTATTATTATTATGTCTCTTTCCCTCAAACTAGTGAAGATTTTTATTATTATTATTATTATTATTATTAAATTTGTCATGTCGCTTGCATGTATAAAAGAAGGCGCCCGTCATGTCGTGGCAAGAGTGTACACGTGCAGGGTTACAGTGTATGTTACTCTTCGTCTTCGTCGTACATTGTAGTCATGCTAGACCAATACTGAGTAGTAGCGCACGGTGCGCTAGGACGAGCTAGTGTTAGCGACTCTGATGGCCATTCATCATAGCCTAGGAGCTGTGGCATCATTTTAGGATCCACAGCAAGACGGCAGCCTGTAGATACCTATAGTGAAGTAAAATAAAGGTATTAAACGTAACTTAACATAACATAACCTGAGGCCTGTCGCAGTGTCGGTGGCTTCTCGGAAGCTAGGAATCGGGAAAGGTCCGCAGGTGCTTGGCCAAGCGCACGTATAGTAGAGCTGCATGCTGGCGAGCGACGTCAACATGCCACTGGCGCGATACCAGCTGGGATTTGGTTGATCGGGCCAGGCGCCCCCGGTTCGCTGAAAACAGGCTGCGTGTCCTTGATCCGGTGTATATTTATTGCTGCTGACTAGCGTTGGAGAAAGTTAGTTGCCCTTGCCAGTGCTGCATTGCTAGTGTAGTTACTAGTTAGTTCGAAGTCCGCGGCCGTCATATCACGAGAGAAGAGATCTTCCTCCTGTAACTGTAGACTCGAGACAGAGACAAGCCAGTGGTGGAAGAGATCGAGCAAGCCAATCGTTCCCAGCAGCATTTCAAGTAGCAAGCCAACAAGTAGTGCTTCGAGAGCTTGTCGTCAGGCAACGAGATCGAGAGCGAGCCTGGAAAACAAACAAGGCAATCGCACTCCCACGTCACGGTATTACATTAATTTAGCTGCACAGACAAGATGACCAGTTTCCTTCCAGTTCGTTGTGGCCTGTTGTTGGCCATAATTCTGTTGATGGTCAGTTCGATTGGGAACATTGGTGTTTCGTCAGCGAGCAGCAGTAGAAACGAGCCACAAGAGAGTGCACTGCACTCGAACTTGGAGTTGGGTGAGGAATGGAACGCGGACGTGCGGGAGTACGTGTTCAACGCGCTGGCCTTGGAATCCGTGTCCGATTCCAGGCGTTGGGCGTCCTCAATGGCGCGGGAGAAACGCCAGCAGCCACAACAAGAGCAGAAGGATGGCGTTGGCGGTGATCCGAATGGCGTGTTCACCTGGTCCGACTGCAGTCAACCCGGCTCTCCGGTGAGCATCAAAACGCTGCAGCTGACGCCAGACCCGATCTTGGTACCCGGTACTGCCTCACTCAACCTGGTACTGACGTCAGAACAGGCCGTCGGTGGCCGCATCGCATTGGACCTACAGATATTCAAGCTGATTGGTGCGCAGTGGCGCAAGGCTCCCTGCATCAATGGCATGGGATCGTGCCTGTACGAGGACGTGTGCATGGTGCTGAAGGAGAAATTTCCATCGTGCCCTGGCAACACGACCTGCCACTGCCCTTTCCCGGCGGGGTCGCCCCATCTGCAGCATGTGTTCCAGATTCCCACTCCGCGGGGGATTCCCCTCCAGCTGATTGAGGGAAAGTACCACGTGATCGCTAACGCCACACACACGGGCAGCGATGGCCACTTCAACTTCTGCATTGATCTGCATCTGGCGCTGCACGTAGACTTGTGAGTTAGGCGTGTACTGCTCCTGTCCTAATGTTATGTACAGTGTAGTGTATGCACATTGATCACCAAGTGAACTCATGGCTCACAAGTCCTGCACATGCACAAACTGCTCTTCCTCACCCTGCTGTGTCCCATTGTCTAAAATCATCACCGATGGCCATGTGTCGTATTGATTTCCTGCCCGTTGCCACAACATACACTGCCAACGGTCCAACAACTTATGACGATCCAGCGAGCTCATTCAACTTTGCGTTTCGCTTTGCTTTGTTTGTCCTCTTCTGTGAGTTTGTTAGAAGGAACACACTCATTCACGGAGCATTATTTTGAAGTTTCTTTCCGTAATATCACGCTCTGCAATTCATGCTCTGCATTTCATGCTCCGCACCTCCATAAGTTATGCAAGTGGTGTGAAAACTGATACGAAGTGTGCCACTGTCGCGTGTTGAATCTGGTCTCATTGGTGATGTTTGGGCCAGGGTCCAGGGAGTAGTGTCTGAATGCGCATTTGTGAACCACATTCGGCACGAAAAGAACCAGCCAAGAGATTATGGCAGTACACCGAGCGCCCCAGAGGACGGTTTGATTTTAGTCAATTACAAAGAGTTCGTTGAACCGCGCGATGACACATTCCCATAAGAGGTGATATGGTTTTTAGCATGGTTGTATGGTGTCATTTCTTCAGCATCTCCTCCTACTTCTAGTCAAGATACGTCCAATCAATAGTGGCAAGTGGAAGTGCTATCCGTCATGTCAAGAGTACATAAACCTGGTCATGCCCCTTGTGTCCAAAAATTAGGATCCCCGTATAGTTTGACTCACTCGTGATGCTGTATGCCATGCAGCACCCATGGAGCAGCAGGCCCCTCTGCCTCTGGGCTCTGGAGTGGATGCCAACACCTGGAGACGCATGTGCACCGGATTTGGTGTTGTGTCAGACGAGCTCTGCGATGCGGTGGCCTTATGACGTGCACGACGCCTGGCAACATTCATGGCAGGCCCTTGGTCACTGCGAGCCTGCACGTGGTCTATAGTACCATTAAAAACCCGACGTCAGGCCCATCGTCATGGGGTCGTTTTGAGGCGGATTGTGGGCAAAGCCATCCTCAGACTTCTGCGAGACGACACCCTGGAAGCAGCCGGTAACCTGCAGCTTTGTGCTGACCACGAGTGTGGAGTGGAAGCCGCTATTCATGCCATGGGAGAAGTTTTCGCAGATAATGAAACGGAAGGCATCCTTCTAGCAGACACCTCAAACGGTTTCTTGAATCGTGCTGTATATCTGCAGAACATCCAACACCTTCGCACAGCTATGTTATCAGTTGTCATTAACACATACAGGCAATCTGCACAGCTCTTTGTCGGTGGAGAAGTCATCCTTTCTTCCGAAGGTACCACGCAGGTGGACGCGATTGCAATGCCTCTCTATGCTCTCAGTGTTCTTCCTTTGCTGCAGTCAGTCTCTACTGCAAGTACTGTGCAAGCCTGGTTTGCTGATGACTCAGGAGCAGGTGGCAAGCTGATGCCTTTGCGTGCATGGTGGCATAGCCTAACAGAGCAAGGTCCTTCCTACGGCTATCACCTGAACCCGTCCAAGTCGGTTCTCCTGGTTAAACCTGAGCATTATAATCAAGCACTGGAGAGTTTCGCTGACACAGCAGTTGACATTCGCGTCAATGGCTGTGGGTAGCTGGGTTCGTCTATTGGTACGACTGCACTCCTGGAAATATATTTGTTGAGCAGAAGGTAACAACATGGCTCGACCTGTTGGAAAAATGGTCCTCCTACAAGTATGAAGAAACGCACCCGCAAGCTGCACACAAGTTCCTGTGGTCTTTTTTTCCTCTGCCGCACGTACCACACCGACGGCTGCAGCTGCTTTGGCGCCTGTGGAGAAGTTGCTCAGTAATGGAGAGGCTCATCCCCGATCTTACCGGCCATATGCCGGTAAACTCTGACTGGTTACTCAGAGGAAACTCAGAGGAAAGTTCTCTGCTAGCACTTCCATGTCGCCTAGGAGAGCTCGGGCTAGGAAATCCTGTGGACAGTATTATTATTCTTTTATTCCACGATGGCGTGACGCCAATAAGGAAGATTGATAAGTGTGATAGAACTGATACTAGCCATAAACAGCTACTACTAGTAGTATATGGAACAGCAATATCGCTTGACACTTTATACCTTTAAACTCGGATGGAGAGGCAATGATTAAAATCAAAAAAGAGAGGACCATAAGTTTGCAAGTTGTCGGTTTCGTGCTAATTGTTGCACGGTTTGGCTCACCGTCATCCTGCTTATAATCGTTAGTTGGGGAAGTGTGTGCTGCTCCCTACAAGGGAGCTCGCGGTTTTCCTGCCGACTTGAATTCTCACTTGACTCACTCACGACTGCCATCCAGAGTACACGAGAAGTCCATCGAACCGTCCACTCGGCAAGCCTGCAAGAAAGCACCACTCCCTGCTCCATACACAGTGTTTCGGGGAATTCACCTTCTTCACATTATAATCGTTATTATTATTATTATTATTATTATTATTATTATTATTATTATTATTGCAAATGACGCTGAGTAATTACACGAATGCATAAAAACCAGCATTTGCTTCCGGGAAGGATTCACAAAAACGTTTGTGTTGGAGAAAACGGATAACTTGTAAACTTATGGTCCTCTCTTTCTAACATTATACCTTAGTTGACTTTCGAGAAGAAGGAAGAAGACTGAAAAGTACTAGTGTGACGTGTTTTTTTTTGTTTTTTTTGTTTTTTTTAAATTTTATTTATGGATTCCCCAAAGGCCGAGGCCTAAGTCGAGGGGGTCTCCGTTCATGGCTTTAATACTGGGAATATATCTGCAAAATTATAACATTATAGATTGAGAAGAGGAAGGGTTAGTGTTGGTGACCTCAGTCCTGTGCAAGGTACATGTAAAAATGTTTTACTGACAGAAATCGTCTTCATATAGGGAGGCAGATATGCCTGTTTGTTGTACGACTTTAAATAAATCCAACCAACCAACCATGTAGCAAGCTCCTTCACAGAGTGTAGAGAACGGCAGCCTGGCGGAAAACAGATACATGTGTCCCGAATGCTATCAAGTATCAGGCAGGAAAGCTGTGATTGCTGTCGGAGCTCAAGCCCTGCTGCTCCGCTCCAGTCTGCCGGGGGCGGAGGGGGGGGGGGGGCAAACAGGGTGTTACTGACCTGGCGTCGGAGAAGGGCTCATCCAGCTGGTTGACTGGCAGGCCTTTGGCCTTGAAGCGTCATGGATTTGCCCTCTCCAAAGTGGAGTTTCGCCATTTGAGGTATATAAACTGGCAACTACAACGCATGCCATCAGTGTGCGTTTGTGGAAGCCAGTTTACGGTGGCCCATGCTCTGTCGTGCCCCACCGGCGGTTACCCTACCATCAGGCGCAATGAGATCCGTGATGTGACTGCTGGTCTTCTGAAGCGTGGTGCCACACTTGTTCCTGTGGAACCCCATCTCGAACGTAGGGAGCGGCTTCGCTACCGCACCGCCATCCGCGACGACCAGGCTCGCTTGGACATAGCAGCAAATGGAGTGTGGGGAGGGCGATTCGAACGCACCTTCTTTGACGTCCGGATTTTCAACCCGTTTGCGTGCATGTTTGAACCAGCTCTCCTCCATTTCTGCCACCTTCGTCGCCAGGAGAAAGCGAAGAAGGGATCGTGCGAACAGAGGCTGTGGGTGATCGAGCATGCTTCCTTTGTCTCGTTGGGCTTCTCGAAAACCAGTGGTATGGGCAAGCGATCTGCCTAGCTTTACAGCACTCGGAAGTTGTCTGCACCTCCTCCTTGACCAGTTTCAGCGAATTTAAGAAAGAAAGAACTGCACAAACAGTGCTACGAGCATTGGCTTCACTGCAGTGGAATTCCGCTGGTTATGTAGCGTCACCTCGCATTACGTTTCCTTTAGAAGATATTGTCTGGCACACTTTTCATCATTCAATTTATTATCCCAGTTTTCCACGCTTGCATGCTGTATTACATGTTAAGTATAACCTGGTTTTAGCGACCACCCCATGGACCACGGTGCAAGCAAAAGCGGTCTTTAATAGCCAGGTGGTCTTTAGAACCAGGTCCCACAGTGTCTGTGTGGAACTGTCGGTGCATGGAAAACGACCGTTAAGAGCAGGTGGTCGCTAAGCACAGAGGTCGCTTACACCAGGTTTTACTGTATGATTGTATGTTCCAGTGCAGACCTCTGCTCTAGACTATAGTACTACTACAGTAAAGCCTGGTGTAAGCGACCTCTGGGTTTAGCGACCAGCCGACCACCTGCTCTTAAAGGGGCACTCCGGCTTCATTTTCGACGCCGAGTTTTCGATGCCAAGACGAAGGTAGGTGAAAGAGAAGACCCCTCGAACAAGAACGAGTCTCCAGAAGCGATCGAGTCGAGCAGGAAGACGACTTTTGAATTTCGCCGAGCGAGCGCTGATGACGTAATGAGGGATTAGCTTGCCAGTGGAAATGCACCTGCGCACATACATTTCACACACTTTTTGGCCAATTTTCAATCGAAGAGGAGGTTGTTTGCTATGTTCTCCCAACGCCGTGAGAGATCCCGTCTTCTATACCCTTCCAGGTACCCTGAAGGTCCTCCAGAGGAGAATTTGTCTCCAGCAAAGCGTTGTTGATCCGCTTGGGGCCCGGTCCCACATGCAGTGGCGGATCCGCTGGTGCGACAAGGTTTTGCGGGAGTGGTGTCGCACCTCTCCTGCGACAAAATGCTCGCGTGGTCTCACATGCTCACGCGTGCACGGCGAACGAAGCGAGCGCGCCTCTCTGACTTCCAAAATATTCAGTGCAGCTCCCCTGCAACTCAAGCATGCTTTCACTTCGAAGTACGCGTGCACGTACTGATGATGTACAGTCAGTACTGTGTCCGTGGACAGAACTGTTTCGTCCTTTGTGGACACATCGACGCAGCACTGATGTACTGTTGATGTAGATACTAGGTGTTGGACAGATCGTTGTTTTTGTTGAGTATCAAGCATTAGCTACATGTCGTGGGTTCGGTATTGTTGACTTTGAGTCTTTGTTCTGTATACTATACTAGTAATCTGAAAGAATGGATTTTCCGTTGGGTAGAGGTCGATTGTCGAGACGTTGTCGACAGGCAATGGAGACCGCAGCGACATTTTGTTGCTGAATACTAGTACGAACTTGTTGAGCAGCACGTCGACGATAACCAATGGCAATGATAACTGCTACAGATACTGGTAATAGTGGTACATGTATCGCTCTTGCCAGACCTACATCACAGTGGTCCGACTGCGTGGTTTTACATGATGGCCATGCTTGGCTGCTCACAGGTCCGGGATTTGGTCTTTGGCCGACGCCGCAGCCGTCGGTTTCAGCTTCTCGGCTATCCACCTATCGCTCCGTATCTCTCTTCATCCCTTGGCCAAACGAGTCTTGACTTCAACA